TATATTATTCAAAACTACCTGACAATAAAATTATTACACCATAATAACTAACCCTGCAAAACATTTACCATTGTACACGTACGAAGCCTTTACAAATAGGGCTTTTACAAATAATTTAACGCATAAACCTAAACTTATCTGAATAATAGACTATTGTCTTATCTGGAATAATCTTCTTCCAGTTACAGCTCTAGGCGCAGATGAGATATCCTCAGCTCACAGATGCTCAGGTCAAAAACCAGTGGCTAGTAGTGATCAGTGACGTAAGGAATGTCACAAGGTAGAGGCTGCTTGCCTTGTTTTCAAAATTTACGGTATGAAACAAACCCTAGAGGGAGAAATGCTGCTTAAAAATCTACTCTCTATTCTCTGTCTGAGACAGAACTACCCATTTAAAAACCTCAAAACTTGAACAAAACCCATGTACATTCTCTGTTACTAGAAATTTACTTTTCTATCTGCAAGGGCAAGAAAAGATAAAAATATACCAAAGTGATATACCCTCAGAAAGTTATCCCTTATTCTAAAATAAGTTATGGCAGCTCAAAATTCAAAATCATGATTAATGTAATGTAGTAAGTCCAAAAGAAGGTGACATGTAGGGACTGCCCTATATGTGAATACGTAAAACACCAAACAAAATCAAGATTACACTAAGAATTTCAATCAGCAACAATCAATATATTACTGTCTATAAAATACCCAATTAAAACGATATTTTACCTGTTCACATCAGGGTTTTTTTATTAAGGGGAAGAGATGGCTTCCAACAAAATCGGCTGCGAAACGGCTACAAGGCAGCTACAAAACAAAGCTGGAGGAGTGTAATGGTGGTCCTCCACAATGACTTTCCACTAAAAGGAAGCAGATATTGAACAAACTTCTTTAGAACAAGCATTAATGCACGTGGTCCGATGGTACACAAAATCCCATTACAAAATGGACGGGTAGTACCCAAACCAACACAACTAAACGTAAGGTACAAAATAAAAGGTACCACTCCATAAACTGGTGTTTGGAGCGTTAATATCCCAAGATCTGGAAGTTAACGAAAAAACACCCACACACAACCAAAACTACAGCAGGAATAAAAAGAAACTGGCGCTGGACCGTGCGCACACGCAACCCCCTAAAAGAAGGTTAAATAAGTCGCCCTGAAGAAGGCTCGTTCAATAGAAAATCAAAAGGAACAGATAAAAGCCGGTAAAGATAGTAAAGCAAATTTTAACAGAAGGTGCCTTGATAGGAAGGTAAACATTCATTTACGGCTAGTACGTGTAGACATAACAATGTGGCGTGCTGGTTTCCAATAGGCAGATTATAGGCAGAACAAAATCTGTCTACGAGGGACCAACAGTATTTTATGAGGAAATTTCTAAGATAGTCGTTAATAATACTATAACATTAGTGACCAAATAAATTTCAACACAATACTGAGTCGCTGAGAATGACATATATAATACGTGAGAAATTATACAATCAATTAACTATGAAATTTGCCAAAAGAAAATTATTGAAAAAGGTTTTTATCTCTAGGAATCGGCACTCTATAATCAATAAAGAGGAATTCAAATTACCGATAAGTGATCAAAATAGTAACAAAAAGGTTACGTGATTCTGGCACGTGACAAAGTAACTAGCGATATAGTCAAAATCATGGATGATGGCATGGTAACTCTGTTGGTGATGTTAGATTACTGCAAGGCATTATGACATAACCAACCATATTATTTAAAAAGTTATATTATGGTTTGTCTGGTAATGCCTTGCTGTGGTTTAGCAACTACCTCGATGGCAGGTCCGAGAGCTCAGAGATATGTGAATCTCCACTTTACGAAATGTAATTTCTGGTGTCCCGCAAGGACGTATATTAGGTCATTTACTATGTACATTCTATACATCTGATTTCTTAAATTTTATATCACAGGATTGGAATATACATCGAAAGGCTGATGATGTATACATTTATAAAGCATGCAAGCCATATGAAGATAATACACTTATTTTTGAATTAAAAATAAACCTATGACTACTGACTATATCAAATTTTAAAGAATTGATGAATATAGATATTGTTTTTGGTGTTACAGCTATTGAAATTGTAGAGGCAAGTGCGAATTCAGAAATTTGATTGGACACAAATTTAAGTTTTGAGAACCATGTCATAAATAAACTTCGAGTATGCTATTGTAAATGCAGACACAAACAAGTTTTAACTAGTGATATAAAAGTATGACTAGCCAATGCACTAGTCCTCGCTCATCTAGGCTATGGCGATACATATATTATTATTATATTACCTTCTTACGGAAGAAATGAATCACAAAATTCAAGTATTGCACAAATTCTACACGAGATTCTGTTTTAAAGATATACATAAACAAGAACATATTACCGGCTACTATTTAAGAGAAACTGTTATAAAATTCAAGTAGCGTGTAGGTACTGCTTCGGTATGAAACTCTACTGGATACAGTTTTAAAATATAAATTACCCAGTTACCTGCTTAATTCCTTAGAGAAATGTCCGCCAAGGTTTTTTATGGAACAATGCCTATTTGCATATTCCATTTCAAACAATGGATAAATTCAAATAATGCTTTACTTAATGGCTATTGAACGATTAATTAGAGCTTTTTGAAGCACCTTTCATTAAAACTTTATAAATGAGATAAGAAAAGCGTTACTGCAGCTACAAACATTAGAATCCACAAATTAAATTGAATAGCTGTTGGTACACTATCTTCCGCTAACACTCTGATCATATCATGTTATTTAGGGTCTCCTAGAAGTCCACGTCAAGCCGGAAACGAGGAATAGACCAAGTCATAATGGTTATCAGAAAAATATCAATTCCGTTATTCTGTCCTTTAGCTTAGCAAAATTTTCGACTGGCTTTGAGTAAACCTTTTTCACTGCTCCCCAGTAAAAAAATCGCGTGGATCTAAGTCAGGTCCGCCTCAAGATATTCTCTAACTGAACAAGCATGGTGCGCCGGGACGGCGTCTTGCTGGTATCACATTTATCTGTGAGTGTGTAGTGTAGTCTTCCACTAAATTTGATAAATGATTTTGTAAAAATTCTACATAAATGTTGCCATTCAAGAACTCTGGCAGCTCAAAGGGTGTCTACTTTAAAACGATACTGTGATATATCTTGTCTCATCAAATGTGGATTTTCTACATACCACTCGTGTAATTGGTCCATAAAATGTTCTCTAAATATCGCAGAACTTGCCGGTGTCTCTGTAACATTGTTTGACAAAACTCAACTCTTGGAAGATAATCCCGGGATTGTAGATATTGTACTCCTTGTAAGTGGTACGATTCGGTAGTCTGTACCTTTAGGCACTCCCGTGCTTACTTTTATTTGACGTTCTCAAGTCGGGTCTCCTTCGACTGCTTGTAGTACGAGCATGAGAGTGTAGTAGAAGTAGTAGAAAGTGTGAAAAACAACTATACCTGACCATCGTAATGACACTGACATTATTAATCAATGTTTTATGACAGTTCACGACCCTGGATTTATTCCAGATGATATATAAAAGTACTAAATAAATTTTGTAAAAATATATTTTCTTTTACCCTCCTAGTACCTAGCGATATTTACTGCATCATTGAATCTGAGGCAAAGGGTGCTGATTATTTGAGTATTCCGATGATCAGGCTCAGATTGGCTGTAACATTGCTATTTATCACGCATATCATCAGTTCATTTTTCTTGAGAACGGGTACTATCCCGAAGCGTGGAGACAACCATAGTAGTTCTTGTATCTAAAGTTAACAATCCAGATGACTTTTTGACTTGCGACCTATTAGCCTGTTGTCAGTTATTTCAAAATTTTAGAAAAAGCGGCTTAGTACCTAGTTTTGAAATATGTCGACGAAAGCAATATATTGCCGGCAAACCAATCAGATTTCTGCAAGCATCACAGCACTACCTCTGATTTATTAAACATTTGTGATAATACCTTCAGAGCTTTAGATAAAAAGCTGAGTGTAGTTCTTGTGTCCATTGATTATTCTAAAACTTATTGCTTGCCAAGGTACTATGGCTAATAGTTTTTTCAGAAGTTATCTATTAAGTCGTATTCAATGTGTTTTTTTGGGCGTATCCAAAACATCAAATTTTGATACGCAGCTCCTTCACTACTTTGATATAGAAAATATCCACGATGCTCAAAAAAATATAAACTCTGATATTGGAAGGCTCTGTCAATTTTCAAAATCATTGTTATCGGTAAAGATTTTTACAGAAAAAATTCTCCGGGTACAAGAATATTATGAGTTACTATCGACCAGAGACTTAGGTTCACAGACCACGTAAAGAATCTCCTAAAGAAATATTACCTGCGACTTCGTGCTTTATATGCTAATAAGCTTATCTTGAACTTTAAATTGGAAAAAACTCTGTGAGTCACTTGTGATACCAATTCTTACTTACTGTAATATTTTATTTTATCCTTGCCTCGATGGCATAGCAAAGAACAGACTGCAGGTTGTTCAGAACAGTTGCGTAATGTTTATCTTTGGTCTGAGAAAATTTGATCATATCTCAGATAAGGTTACTCCTTTGTGCTGGTTGAAAATGGCCTATTTAGTGAAGTTCAGTTATCTTATTTTCATCCACAACTTAATGCTTACATCTGAATCTCTAAATCTTAGGGAAAAGTTAATTTTTAGAGGTAGTGCGCATTATAGAACCATCAAACGTAGAAGCACAATCACTATCCCCAACATAATTCATCTTTATTCCAGCGCAGTTTCACATACAATGCTGCTAGTGTCTATAACAACATTGATGCTAACTCTAAAGTAATGTCGTTAAACCAATTTAGGAAATGTATCAAAGGCTTAGGGTAAGTCCCGGAGAGATCGACCACATTTTGGAAAAAAGATTGTTAATTTTTTTGGCTTCTGAGGTACATATTTTTTTAACTGTGGAAGCATTACCTAAAGGGTTAGGATAGTAAATAAATTACAATTTAAGATATAATACAACCACAAATGTTTATTTTGAACTAAAAGTTTAAACATTGTAACTGGTCGATCTCACCCGGATGTCCGGGTTAGACCGACCACCAACTACGGGTGAGATTGACTTCGAAAAATAAAAAAACATAAAATGTTAGAACAGTATAATACGAAACGTAGAATTAGAGCGTATAAATAAATTTAATTTTTTCGACTTTTCTTTTTAATTTTTCCGCATATTTGAGCCATTCGTCGTTCTTATCGGTTTCCCCACATCCTACACATTAGTAATAGTCCCATTCATCTGCTGATGTATCACTTTCCTGCAATACTGGACTTTCGCTCTCCGAATCTGAATATTCTAATAGTTTTTTCTGTTTAACTACATTTTTTTTCTGAATTGGACATTTGTTTTTTTCTTTGTATTCTTTTTATCCTTCTGAAACTCAATGCGTTGTGAACTGTTTAAAATAGTTGCAAACTGCCTACCTCGTGTTTTAACTGCTGTTTTTGCGCTAGTTTTTGGAATTGGCGAAATCACGTTCTCCAACAATTTTGCTGGTGTAGAGTTGAGTGTGGGGTAAATCTCAATTATTGCACTGTCAGGATCGTGCGAACCACCAGGCAGAGATGCCTGTATTAGTGCTCTGAGCGGTAGGGGACCGGGGCGGAGTCGAAGTAGAGGACGGATTTTTAGCGTTACTATTTGAACCAGACCTGGTCTCTGCATCTTGGTCCATTTGAATATTAATATAAACGTAATTTGGAATAACTTCTGGGTTAAAGGGTGCAATGCCTGCAGCTCTAAAACCAGACATCCCATTTTCCACAGTCGCTGATTTGCCTCAGGCTTGTCCCAAAAGAATTCCAAAAAGTATCCTTGTTATTTTCCTACTTGGATTTGCTTTTAAAAAATTGTTACAAGCCGCGTAGTAATGGTTTTTCAGAGGTTTAAAAAAGGACCTATCCAACGGTTGCAGATAATGAGTCGTGTGACTCGGTAAACAAAGTAGCATTATGTCATTAGCTTCACAAAATTCCAGTATTTTCACAGAATTGGTATGAGAAGTATGGCCACACTTTTCCAGCTGGTTTTCTTGGCAAAAAATGAAACTCCAAACAATCCTTGAAAATGGAAGCGTTCATATACGCAGATTTCTCCGACATAGAAATTTGATAGCCAGGTGGCATTCCTTCTGAAAACTCATCTTTTTTATTTTTACCTTTCAATATCGAGTAAGGTGGGAGAAACATTCCCTCTGCATCGCAGCTCACTATAACCGAAATTGTTTTGCCCTTCTCACTTGATGTTAACGAAGAAACACTTTTTGAACCTGTGTTGTTTTATTCCGTCTTCCTTCTTAATCCTATCTTTTAGCGTTGTTTTGGGTATTCCAAATTGTCTGGCGGCTTTATTTACACCCATTTAGCTCTCTCCCCATTTTTCCATTTGTGAGTCGTAGGCATTTTTGTTAATCTGTAACAATATTATATTACAATAAATTTATTTTATTAAATTGAGCTTTATTATATCACCAATTTCCTTCAGACCGCAGAATATTTCATTATTACTATTATTATTTCCATGGTCGGTCTCTCCCGGATTGATATGGTCGTACTCTACCAATGTTACGGGCGAGACCGACCACCTTGTTAACCGAAGGAAAAATGAGAAATGCCTACATTTTTGGGGTTATGTTATAGTTTCATGCATATTTTATCATCTAGTATTGAAACAATTTAAATAAACTTACCTGTCTTTAAAATATCGCGAACACAGTAAATCAGTCAACAAAATTTCAAGTTTGCACAAACTTTTGAAATTAATTTGTAAATTTATATTACTGTTACGGGCCGCGTTTACGTGTTCGATTTAACAAAGTCAACTAATCTCATCATACATGTGAGTCACGGATTCATCTATTGCTTTGTGGTTAAGTTATTGGTAGTGGTCGGTCTCTCCCGGTGGTCGATCTCTACCGGAATTACCCTATTATAAATGAGTAATAATGGATCACACTATCCATGGGCATTGCTTAATATTGGTGTCCACCATCTCTCATGTGCATTCTTTTTTCCTTGGTGTATAACAATTCGTAATTTGTACCATGCTTTACCTTGCTCTATGCTTGGATTTTATATTTTCTTTTTTGTTTTTCTCATGCCACCTTATACTTCGTATACCTGTCCGCACTAGTGGTTAAGCCCTCGGCTAAACTTCGCTATTGGTGTTAGATATGATGTGCCTGTGTATACTTAAGAAAGACGAGATTTTTATCATCATTATTATTATTATATCCCATCAATAAGGTGCATGATGGCGTATTCATATGAATTCTTAAAAGTGGCGTAACTATCTGTCTTGCTGCGACTACGTAGAATGACGCATTCCGTCACTCCATCCGAGAAACAATGAAATTTGTAGTAATGGAAACGAAAAGACTATCACAGTGTGCGTAGATTTTTCCGATTTTTCCGATTTTCCTGATTTTTTTAAAGCCTGTAATTTGAGTACACGTTTTTTTATATATTATATATTTTTTCTGACAACTATTATGAGTTGACCTATCCCCGTTTACGGCTTAACGTCAACTTCTGGGAACCCTGTATATGTGTTGTGAATAATATTTGTTACAAATGCTAATCACTCTATCCAGTTGATGTCAGATTAGTGTTCATCAAACTAACTTTTTAGGGGGAGGTGGAAAATGTCTGAGCCAATCCTGCTTCCTTTTGGAATGTTGTCCATTTTATACTTGTTATGTATTTACATTCCAATAAAAGTTGTTATTATCATTCCAGTGTTATCTATTTTATACTCGATATGTATCTACATTCCAATAAAAGTTTTTATTATCATTCCAGAGTTGAAGACTGCTCATTTAGCCACATAGTGGCCAAGCCCGTGCAACTGTTCATGTTCTGCGCTGTATACGGTCCCAGCGTACTGGTGTTGCTCGCCTGCTACGGCTACGTGTACCTAGTGGCCAGGGGCCATGCGAGGGCCATCAGGCATGAGGCCAGGCATTCCAGCATGCATCATCGAGTTCCTCATCATAGGCATGTGCATGGACAGCATGTTGCGCATCATCATCAAGCCAAGTATGGTTTGGCATTGGCCATCACTGCTGGGATGTTTCTTGTGCTGTGGGCACCCTTCCAGGTAGGTTATGGTTTTGAAGATAATCTAATATCCACACAAGAAACAGATATTGTTCTAGTACAGTATTGTGCTGTTTAGTGTTTGTGTCGGAGATGCCACGATTTTGATGAATACCGAGTCCCAGGCCACGTCCTTAGCCAAAGCGCCGAATATTCGGCGCTGATTTCGATTAGCAAGAACATTGCTGTGGTGCGCATCATGCCAAATGACGTCGTGGATCCAAATGTAGCATTGTCATGTATGTATGTCACATGACAGAATATCCCGTGAAGCATAGGCGGATATTGTGATAAGGTTGAAATTTTGAAGATTTTTTCGATTACCCCCAATAACTCAATGTTTTGACAAAATAGAAGAATATCGGATTGTAATTTTCCATGAAACGCACACACACACACACACACACACACACTCCTACCCTGTGCGGTCCCTCCACCACCCTCGTTTCAGAAAACCTCACACATTGAGGAAGGGCGGAAGAGTAACTGGCTGTTCCCCGCTTCCCCGCCCCTCACTACTTTTATGGACGGCTTCTTTCTTGCAGGTCCAGCGCTGGGGGCTTTGGCCTAAGCCCCGCATTCAGGTTCGTGAGCCTATGCTCATCCCTCGTCGACTGGAGTCAGTCAGTTTGCTGCTTGTCTTCGTCTCCTGAGGTTAGCCTCGAGTCCGTGCTTGAGTTTGTCCACCTCAATTGACAGGCTTCTTTTTGTCCACCCGTTGTACATGGGCTGTTCTTTCCCCTCTTGAGCGTACAACTATTGTCGGTCTTCTCCCCTTTCCTTTGGCCTCATCAGTTGCTAGGGCCAAATTTTATTCTTATTGCCGCTGGCTTTTTCTTCTTTCGTGTCGCCTTATTGTTCTTGGGTCGTAATCCAAGGCGTCCTTAATCAGCTGATTTCGGTGTCATTCGTTCTTTTCAAAGAACTTTCGGGCCCTCTCTCTCATCTGGATTACGACCGGTACCTGTCGGAGTTCGCCTCAAGGAGTGCTATGTTTGGTTGGGCTTGGAGCCTCTTCTTCAACGTTTCGGCAACGTAGCCACAAGCTACTGCTGCGTATGTCACGACTTGGAGCAGCACCATCTGAAACATGATGGTCTTATTCTTTTTAGGATACTTTACTTCTTCTGCCTATTAAAGGTCGTTATTTTGAGCGTGCCATCTTCACTTTCTACACCTGGCCCTTCTTGGTTCTTTCAAGTAAGTTTTTGATCCATCTTGACTCCAAGGTACGTGCTGAAATCCTTCCAATCGACCTCAACTTCTTCGTCTCTTCTCCAGCCTCTTTCCATTCTGGTGGTCGTCACCTTTATTTTGGTTTGGGGTATTCTTCGATTCCTTCGGAACAGTACCGCTTCGGTCTTCTCAGGGTTAAGCCGGATCTTCCATTTGATGCACCATATATATATATATATATATTGGTGTCAAGAACAGGGGCTATTCCAGACTAATGCCATACAAAGTAGACGTTCATTATATCATTTATTTTTAGACAACTACTATCAACAGTGCCTACCCGACACACAGCACTTTATGACTGAGTCCCCTCTGTAACTATTTTCAACAATAGTCACTTAAGCTATTGCAGCTACTGATAATACTTGAAAGCATCAGCATGCTGACGCTGAGCTGACTTGTAGCTTAGCGGAGTATGGCGAGGGTCTCTTGCCTAAGAATTGCTGAAGGCAGAAAAGCGGTTGTCTCGTGTGTTAGCTCCTTAGTGCTAATGTATGGGTATCAGCATATCAGCCATATGAGGGTCAACGATGACCAAAACATGAAATGTACAAACGCATTAAATAACAAGATACAAAAACCAAAGGGAACAGAACCCGAGGTCACTTCAAAAGGAAGTTATGGTTATAATCAGTTATAATTTTAAAATTGATATATCAGCTGATATCAATCATAACCGGCACAAACGTCAACTGTCTCCAGGTGGTTGAAACTGGAGCCGTTCTCGACCCATTTTTCTCTTTATTTTATGTTCTCGGGTAGAAAAGTCAAAACGCTAATCACAGACAAGACAATTACATCTGTGAAACTGTATTGTTTGGTTCGGCTTGACCGCTTGATTTAGTTTTTAATGATGCACAACATCTGAATTTTTCCTTCGTTAGGGTTTGTCAAAGTTATTCGGTATTTCTAAAGATGTGAGACATACCTTACCGAAATACCAAGAACGTGCACACTTTCCACGATTTTTCAAAGTAGCTGAGAGGTTCTAGATGTCTTATTGACAAAAAGGTCGAACCAAAATAAATCCAAAAAATGAATTCTATGTAGTCTATGCAGTTTTATTATTCATACCAGTCATACAAAAGCGTAGATTTGGGCAGTGAAGCGCACCAGAGACGTAGATTTGTGATGCCTACAATTATGTACGCGCATCCCTTATTCCGCCTTTTCTGAACTGATTTTTGTGCCTACAACAGGTGCAGACCACCGCATGACCGGACAAGCAATAAGGAAATCAAAGCGTGTCTATTTAATTGTTAGGTGATGAGGCTTCAAGTTCAGGGGCAAAACAGAAACATATTCAGAGTCCTATTCATTGGGCCACCCATGATCGCTTTACTTCATGTCTGGAAATATGTTCTCATGTAGAATCGCAATTTACAAAGTTGATCTCCAAATGACTTCTGAGGTCCTGAGTTATTGTTACATTTTGTAAATGTAACAAGTAACGTTACGCAATACAAATTATCAACCTCTGCGTATACGCGGAAGAAAACCTTTTCGAAGCAGGACTTTCCTTGATGGGTACCGTCCAGAATCGCTCATCTGTAATCATGGGGGTAGAAACCTTGCCTTGGAATGTACCGTGAAATGGGGTGAAATTGATCACTTACAAACGTTATATTGGATTATCTTTTTCAAATAAGATATAATTAGATACATTCCGTAAAGTTGATGAAGAACAGCTCCGTCCGAAACTATCTTCATTAATGCTCATTACCGGAGGAGCTTATTTTGCACAAAAATAAGCAAAAACTACATGACCAGATTTATACCTTATTTGGGGTGACTTTGATCGGCAAATAAATTCCAGTGCAGAAATACGTATAATTGTGTTAGTTGGCGAACAATGTGATCCCTGGTCATTTTCGTCAAATGGTTGGGGAATTATTGTGGATTTTATCTTATGGGGTCAGATTGGTCACCTGAGGTGAGTTTAATCACCTAGATTATCACCATCATACTGTCGAATAAAAAAAAGTGCCATTAGGGACTGTTTATTTTTCGACTATTTGTTCATAACTCAAGACAATGCAAACATAACATAATGAAAAAATGAACACACAACAGTAAGCC